CATCATTTTCCTTTGGTTTTGAACAAGTTGGAATTGGTTGGCACTTTGGCATTTGCACACCCTCTACAATCTGTTTCTTTTTCCGGAATATTGGCTGTTGGATTTATGTTGCGAAGCAAAAGGTGCATAGCGAGATGCCGATATCTAATCTTCTTGTTATTAATTTGATGGATAGCTTACTCGGTCATTAATATGTTGGTTATTAAAAATAAACGATTGATCAAATCGTAACGACGCATTTGAGATAGATTATGGACTTTGCTACCTACAAAGTAAGAAATTATGAGAGCTATGTCAATGCGAGTAAAACACACATTATGTTTTACGTAAACATTACAAAGAGGGATAATATATGCTCAAATTGTCATTAGGGTTCTCGTATTAGCTAGATGATTGGATTGTGTGCTTGTCAATTTGATAAATTTAGAGAGAGTAAAGTTCACTACAATCCCCTAGAGTATCTGATTACTGTCAAGTGTATGTAGAAATTGAAGTTACTCAGAAGTCCTTTCTTAAACCCTTCAAATTCTTTAAATTCTGTTTGCAACATAAAAAATTTGATGATCCACTTAGAGAAGCATGGAGTAATGTGGTCTCTGGTCCCTCTCTGGGCATGATATATAAGAAATGGGATAATTGCATGGTTAGTTACTGAGATTACAAAAAACGTTCAATTTTGGGCATTCAAAATATTTAAATCCATTGGTGGTACTTGAGTTTACTGAAACCATTCACGTTTGGCCACTCTCCGTCCAACTCCGTTAACTTTTGCTTACGTGGCGGTCAACTCTAAAAGTTGATCGTTAAATGTGTGACGTAGCAATTTAAAAATATTAAAAATAAAATAAGATATTTTAAAATTGCCTTCTCATTTCCACCTCATTATCACTTTTATTTAAAATAAATAAAAAAACCATAATTTCTTCTAATCCCCAACACTAACTCTCAGGACACTCGCCACTGGGAATCACTTTCCCCCGATGAGCGGCACTTCATCACCCACGTTCTCGCCTTCTTTGCCGCCTCGACGGAATCGTCCTCGAGAATCTCGTCGGTCGGTTTATGAAGGAAGTGCAAGTGGCGGAGGCCAGAGCCTTCTACGGGTTCCAGATCGCGATCGAGAACATTCACTCCGAGATGTACAACCTCCTCCTCGCAACCTACATCAAGGACTCCGACGAGAAGATCCGCCTCTTCCGCGCCATCGAGACGGTGCCTTGTGTGGCCAAGAATGCCCAGTGGGCCTTGAAGTGGATCGACGGCGGGGAATCGTTTGCCTAGAGGTTGATTGCGTTTGCCTACTTGCTGTATGGATTGATGAAGGTGAAGCCCAGCAAGGAGCAAGTGAAGGGGATCGTTAGTGGATATCGAGAGGGAGTTTGTTTGTGATGCCCTGCCGTGCGCGCTGGTAGGGATGAATGGGGCTTTGATGGGCTAGTATATTGAGTTCGTTGATGATAGGTTGTTGGACTGCCTTGGTTGTGGGAAGATTTACAATGTGACGAATACTTTTGATTGGATGGAGCTGATTTCGTTGCAGGGGGAAGGCGAATTTCTTTGAGAAGAGGGTTGGGGAATACCAGAAGGCTTCTGGTATGAATAGTTTGAATGGTATTGGGATTAGAAGAAATTAGGGTTTTTTTTTAATTTATTTTAAATAAAAGTGATAATAAGGTGGAAATGATATTGCAATTTTAAAAAATTTAATTTTATTATTTTTAAATTGCCACATCACATATTTAAAGGTTAACTTTTAGAGTTGACCGCAACATAAGCAAAAGTTAACGGAGTTGGGCGGAGAGTGACCAAACGTGTACGGTTTCAGTAAATTGAAGTACCACCAATGGATTTAAACATTTCGAGGGACAAAACTTCAACGTTTTTTATAATCTCGGTGACCAACCATGCAATTAAGCCTATAAGAAATTGAGAATTTTGAAGGATCTCATGAAAAACTAAACAAGGAGAAATATTTTGACAATAGAAATAGAGTACAGGATAAAGAAATGATATTATCCTACGGGGAAACATTGAACATGATGCAACATTATTAGTAAAAATCAGACAACTTTTGTGAACTGCAGGGTCATTGGAAAAAAGATTTTGATGGCTCGTGAGTTAGTACATAAATATTCCCAGAAAAAATATCTTCCCTTGACGTGCGTTCAAAATTACCTAATAAAAGCATTCAACTCTATTGATTGGAACTCTATTTTCAAAATACTGAAGAATATGAGATTTCCTATTAGATTCATCAATTGGGTCAAGATTGAATTAAAAACGAAAAAGAATAGAGTGTACAGAGTCAAGCTCATAAAAAGTGAGCCAATAAAGGAAGAATTCTCAGAATACAGTCAAAATTAAACATAATTCCCATAATACATATCTTTTATAAAATTTTCCCAAAATACCCAAGTTTCAAGGGGTTCGAGTTCCATAACACAAACTGCAGCAGCTGGAGCACCATAGCTGCTGAGCAAAGAAGAAAATTTTTGGAGGTAAATTATGGTTACGTTGTTTGAATGAGCATATTAGAATTTTGGATTAATTTAGTATTGTTTGTACTGTATGTAATGAGCTGCTTCTATAAACTGCAGAAATGGGTAGAAAATTTCGAAAATTCGACTTATTGATTCGGTAGAATGGCCGAATTACACATTTTCATGATAGTATTGACTACGAAGATGGTGAATCAAGTACTGTCCGGATTGAGAGCATATTTACTTGGCAAGAACTCAACCATATTTGTGCGGAACGATGTTGCATAGGAGATTTTAGAGTTCTGCATGATGCACCATGGCCAACATACGAGGATCGAGCTGCAACTGGTCCATTGGTGGAACATGACGGACAGGAGTGGCCAGTATGGGGTGAAGTGGCGCTGGTGCATACGACATTTCAAAAGCAATTACGGGAAGCACTTTGGTAGAACTTATGGACGTGCAGTTTGGCACGCTGGTAAGAACAAATAAGATGTTGTGATTATATCAATTAGTTGAATGCGTATACTCCTTTACTAACCTTATTTTGCTTTATTGTAGCTATTTCTTTTCAGACTCGAAAGTTTGTAGACAAAATGAAGAGCATAAGGGAGGTCCACTCTGAAGGTGCAGATTGGCTAGAAACTCATCCTTTTGAGAGGTGGACGTTACATCAAGATGAAGGGTATAGGTATGTAATAACAACAACGAACATGGGTGAGTGCCTCAATGGTTTGTATGTTGGTCTTCGTGCAATGCCTATCTCATCTATAGTCTTGCATACCTTCTTTCGTACGGTGACATGGTTCGTTGAATGCTACCAAGCAGCATATCAGATGCTGAATGCTGGAATCTACATCCCAAAGAAGATTACGGATGATATGAAACCATGGTCGAAAAGGACAAAATAGCTTAAGGTGACTTTATTTAGTCGAAGAGATTCCCGCTTCGCAGTAGTAACAGGAAGTGGACCAAATAGTTCAAAGGGTGGTAATGCTCAAACAGTCATACTGGATGCAAGGAATGGAATAGGAGAGTGTACTTGTGGGAAGTTTCAAGGGAGACACCTGCCTTGCTCTCATGCATATGCAGCAACGAGAAGCGTTAATTTGGACCCTTTGATATTTGTTAGTCCATACTACAAGACTCCATACGTGGTCAGAGTTTGGGAAGGGTCGTTCTTTCCCTTAGCGCATGAAGCATATTGGCCCCAGTATGATGGACCTGTAGTGTACCCTCCCGAGCACATGAAGCGTACCAAAGGTCGACCTAGAGTTAACCGAATTGCAAATGAAATGGATAGATCAAGGACTCAACGACGATGCCCGAAGAAGTGCTCTGCATGTCGAGTTGAAGGGCATGATAGGCGCCATTGTCCAGGGCCATCGACTGACAATTGAAAGTTTATGTTGTAATTTGAATTTTATGTTGTGATTTAAGAACTTTATATTGTAATTTGAATTTTATGTTGTGATTTAGAACAACTTAACAACTCTAGAGAAATAGAACAACTTAACAACGTCATTAGAAATAGAACAATTTAACAACGTCATTAGAAATAGAGCATGACAAGAACTCTAAAGAAATAGAACAACTTAACAACTTCATTAGAAATAGAAAAACTTAACAACGTCATTAGAAATGGAACAACTTCACAACTCTAAAGAAATAGAATAACTTTAATAACTCTAAAGAACACCTCACTCTAGTGCACCACGTCCGCGTCCCTCTCTTCGACGTCTATTCCTTGAACGAACTCCATATCCAATTCCAGTATTTCGTGGCAATGGAGGTGGGGTTGCAGTGGCTAGAGGACCATAATAAAAATTTGTCATCGGAGTCTGGAAGCTTTGTTGCGGGGTTTGGAATTGATGACCATATGATGAAGCAAATAATTTCAACAACTCAAATAGGATTCATAATCATAAAAATAAATAATGGGCTAAGACAAATAATTTCAACAAATAAAATAGAATTCGTAATCATAAAAATAAATCATAGACTAAGTCTAAGACAAATAATTTCAACAAATAAATTAGCATTCAGAATCATAAAAATAAATCATGGGCTAAGACAAATAATTTCAAAAAATCAAATAGCATTCATAATCATAAAAATAAATTATGGGCTAAGACAAATAATTTCAACAAATCAAATAGGATTCATAATCATAAAAATAAATCATGGGCTAAGACAAATAATTTCAACAAATAAATTAGCATTCATAATCATAAGCTAGAATGTTACCTCGTTGAATTCTATACAGACAAGATGTTAGCGGTACCCGTCTAGATAGGTGAGTCTCGTGATAGCTCCAATCCATCTAGCACCATAAGTCCATTGTCGTAGTGGCTCATCGGGACCCCAACTGTTGGCAGGGCAGATCGGAGCGAAAGTAGGAAGGTGCTCCCAAACCCATAGTTGGAGGATGAACATGGGACCACCCGCTTGCTTTGTTTTCGGATCCATACACTTGCACAACTCTGAATATATCATCGCCAAACTAGAAGATCCCCAACCTTTTCTCCCAATCTCGTCCCAATCTTCCAAAAGAACTCGAAGCCACATACAATGCATATTTCCACCAGACTTGCTCGGAAACAAAAATCCTCCAACCAAACAAATCAGGTAGATGCGAGCATACCTCTCTATCTGAGCATCCGTGACATCATCCGGTAATTCCCCAACAATCCTCACTAGCCAAGGTATCAACAACATAGACTTGTGTAGAGGTGGTACACGATGACCTTCGTGCTTCCTCGGGGATGTTGATACCTAAACGCTCGCTTATAAATTGGCCCCAACCATTCAATGGTTTCTGTGAACTTTCTATTATTGCATCACCATCGATTGGAAGCTCTGTCAGCATGGTTACGTCCTTCAATGTAATCGTCATCTCTCCCTCTAGAAGGTGGAATGTGTGCATTTCTTTTCTCAACATTTCCACCATTGCCGTAAGAAGGTTGTTGTCCATCTCCATCCCCACAAACTTTTGCACCCTCAGCAATCGCGCTCTTTCGATGAAGGGCTCGATATGATCATCCCATTTAGGCAAGCGAGATAGCAACCGATGGGTGATTACGTCAAGTTGTTTATGTAGAAAAACAATATTAATTATTATACAAAAAAAATTAGAAGAATACTATCACATTTAAAAAAAGAAAAGTACATGAGGAAGTGCTTACAGGATCTGCCGCCCAAACACTTTCAGACCGATGGTAATGTTGCTCATTCAACAAATCGGTTACTCGCGGTCCGCCTTGAATGTATAATCTAGGATCGTAAATACTCGGATCGATCTCGACAATTTTGAGTGATAGAAGTACCAAACTAAAGAAAAAAAAATCTGATGCGGAAGATCGGGCTTAGCCACAACCACATAGCATATTTTTTTCTTCAAGAGTGGTGGGAGGAAGAGAGGAAGAAGAATGGAGTGGTGTGAGATTTGGTGGAATGGAAGGGGGGTATTTATAGGTGCAGTGGGAGGAGGTGGATCAAGTTTAGGGGACTCGAAACGAGGCATCGATTTTGCTACCTTCGATCCGTGTCAGAAGGAGTTCGAGTGTTCCCAAATCGAACGACCCGGATCGAGTTAAGCAAACTCGATCTACGGTGGAGCGGGTCTGACGTCATTGATCCGCGTCAATTAGATCGATTCCGAGGCGCACGATCCTCCTGCATCGAGTCCCCCCCACTCGATCCGCGTCACCACTTCATCGCGGATGTTGCCATCGAACGGTGGAGATCGATCCCCTTTACCTCGATTTATGGTGGAGCGATGCATATGTCAGCGATCCAGGTCATTTTGTTCGAGTCTTTTGTACTCGATCCACGTAAATCGAGTTTAAAACACTCGATCCCCGTCGTCCTGTGCCAGCCAATCATGGCTGTTTCACTCGATGCACTTGGATCGATCCTTTGTCAATCGATCTGGTACTAGTTCGAGTTTGCTAAACTCGAACCAATTGAAACTTTGATATTTTGGGAAATATTTTTAAAATGATGTATTATGAGAATTACTTTTAATTTCCACTGTATTTAGGGAAATAATCCGCCAATAAGGGAAGAACAAAAACACACAAAACAGACACGAAAAAAGGAAGACAGTAGAAGACAACGTACAAGTTCTACAGCGAGCTTGTTATAAGAGAAGAGGAGAAGTCTCATTCACATTTGTTGATTTTGCTCTTCCACCAAAGAAAAAAAGTGTTATTTTTCTTCTTAATTTGTTCTAATTTTAATTTCCCCTTCTCCACTACTTCATTCCTTCTCGTCCAAGCTTATCAATTCCTCTTTTCCAAAGGTATGGGGATATTATACGTTCATAAGTTGACCTTTAGGCCCACTCATAAAGCTTTAGCTTATCTTCAAGTTTTATATGGGATAAGATTAGTCACTACGTACGTACACCGCACAAGCTAGGTATCCTTTTCCACCCAATATTAACCAACCGTAACATTCAAGCAACCAATTCAGAAACATTGATTGAGTTGCAAACTCAAATAGAGGTGAACTAACCAGTAATGGATACTAGGACTTGGAGCAACCGATCTGTTAGTAAATCGTATATGATTTATGATTGAACATCTCCCAATAATTCGAGTTATTAGGGTCAACTGGTTCTTGACATGTTATCAGAGTCTTACGTGACCAAGAGGTCTTGTGTTTAAATCCCACGACCCCCATTTGTTAAGCACATTGTATTCGAACTTGTGCAAATTTCAAACTCTTGCGAGTGACTTTCGTTTGAGTGGACGTGTTAGTGTGGGGTATAAGATCCACTATTGACATTTTTCAATAACTCGAGTTATTGGGACCAACTGGTTTTTGACATGGTATCAGAGCCTTCTATTACCAAAAGATCTCCTATTCGAATCCAGATAACCCCATCATATCCCAAACGAAAATAAGATTCCTCTTCAAGCCATTAGAGAAGTTGAGTGCTAAGAAAATCCCCAATTTTACATAATGTTCTTCTAGTTGCTACATTATTTTCAACTTAGTCTCTATCAATAAACTTCTAAAGAATCCTTCCTTGTGTTTATGGTTTCAAATCACTCGCATATTTGTATAATCCATGAGTTCTACACTACAAAAATTATGGGTCTAACTGGATTTCATTATGGTATCTACCTTTGTCCACTTCAGTTACACCAGGAATCTCCGGATACTATTGATGACAGTTTATATCATGAATAAGGGTTTGGCCAAATGGTAATACCACTAGTGTAAAATTTGGAGATACGAAGTTCGAATCTAAGTAGTACTCTTAATTAAAATAATTATAATGTTTATATCTCACATTTTTATTCCATGATGCATCGATCATTGGTTATTTAATATTCATTTTCGTTCTATTTGATTTACCGCTTGTTTGATCTCCTCTAGGGTATTGTTTTGGTCTACTTGATGTCATTTGGAGTATACTTTGATGACTTAGGTTACGACATAAAAAAGTGCGAGAATACTAATGCATGAGTTCAAATTTGGATGAAATCATAGATTGGATGAATGAGTTATAAATTAAAAGCATGGTTCATGATAGGGCTGGCTATTTGGTTTTACTCAAAACCGGATCGTATAACCCGGATCAACCGGATAGCAAACAATCCAATCTAATCTTTGGGCTTAGATTTGAGGTAAAAAATCGTTTGGGACCGGATCAAAAACCGGATAAAGACCGGATAAGAGAGCCCAACACCCAAAACTTAACCAACTCCTCACTTTTTGAGTCCTCAGGCCACTCAAATCTCCACAAGTTCAATCTAAAATCAAGACCGAATTGGGACCGGACCGGATCAAGACCGGACTGTATCCAATCCAATTTTTGGTCCTTATATTCCCGAAAAGACCGGATCAATTTGGGCCAATTTAACCGGACCAGACCGTATAGCCACCCCTAGTTCATGAAATTAACTGTAGCGTACCGACGATTCAACCACGAAATACCAGTATCGGAGGCTAAACCGGTAGGCAGTATTTAACGGTACTTATGGTTGAACTACGGTTAAACCACGATTTTGCTATAAAATATCCTATCGCTGACTTTTCCGGTACAATATCCGGTATGGTTTCATGGACCATGCTTAGAAAATGAGTTGATACATACAAGAATTGTAGGTTTTGCAGTAAACCCATCATTTCCTCTTAGAACATTCTATACTTTATTACTTTTGGAGTGTCCCATCCCAATATGATAGAAGAGAGGTTTTATCGGATTTGATATTTGGGAATTATGGTTTATACGAACAGAATTAGGGATCGAGATTAGGAGAGGAAGAACAGAATAAAGAATCGGCCAAAGCCTTGGACTAGACAAGAAGAGAAATTAGGAGATAGGGAGAGTTTAGGGTTTGGGGAAGATAATTCTTTAACTGATTTTTGCTTAATTGAACAAAAGACCCATAATACATATTTATAGCAAAATACCGGTAAAACCTAATAGACTATCCTAAAGTGACTCAAAGACTATTAAACTAAATAATAATAAACCTAATACTAATAATATAATAATAGAAACCGTAAGTTTCTATTATCCCCTCCCCCTTGAGACCAACCTTGCCCTCAAGGTTGACCGAGTTGACCCGCTTTTCCTTCCTTCCCCTGCAATCCACCCGCTGACTCCTCCATTTCTTGCGCTTCCGTTTCTTCCAATCGTGCTCCACTACTTGAACGCATCTAACACCAACACTCCGGCTTTCATTGCTTCTTCTCTACCGATTTGGCTCGTGTCACAACCATGTCCAAACGACTCCCCAACCTCCTTCTCAAACTTCACAAAGTAAGAGTTAGAGAGTTGTTCTTTCTTGAGCATATCCTCATTACCCACCTTGAAATATTCAATGAATTGCGTCATTGATTTTCCCAAGTGCTTGGTGGGGAAGACAAACTCTTTTGGACTCTTTTCTCTTCCAAGTGGGGTTGGATTAAAGCCTGCCGGAAGCCCACGTTCTAACCCAATGAACCTACCTCCATCTTCCTTCATGTTTTGGCCCTACAAAAACAACCCAACAAGATATCTCATTGGTGGCCCACTAACTTTATTCATTTGGCCCGAGTTAAGCCCATTAAGCTTCTTCATCCTGGCCCGCCCCTGATCATTAATGACTGGGCTCGCTCGACTCGGCCCATCCAGTTCCGTGCCCACGCTCAAGACGAGCCCAAGGGTTACAAACCCTAGCGTCAAAGGAGACGGCCCGACCCGCTCTGACGACCCGATCAGCAGCTCGGCCCACGGTTTCGGCCCGCTGGGTGGTGCGGCCTAGGGTTGTAAGCAGACTAGCGTTGCTGCCGTCTTTCCTCATCTCGTCCTCCAACAGCGACGCACCCTTCGTCACCTTCTCCATCGGCGGCGACATAGGATGGGAGAGAAGAATTTTGTCGTCGCCTCCTTTCGACGGCGGCCCCTCAATCTTCATAGCTGGTTTCTTCACCGATTTCCTCTTTCACTGGTTATTCGGCAGTCTTTTCTTCTCGTCGGTCGCCACTGGTGCTGCCTCCCAGGCTTTCGCCGCTGCCAAAAGCTGTCGGCGCTCAGCTCGCTGCTCACGCTAGCCTATTCCAAGATCTGCCTCTTCCTCCAATCCTTGTTGCCAATGAACGCCGACACAGAGATCCGTCAGCCTCGAGCCTGCTTCAAAACTCCAAGCCGCCTCGAATGGGGTTGCGGAAGGTCGGCGTGCGCCTAGCCTGATTCGAGTCGTCGGTGAATCACTCTGACAGCCCCTCTCTGCCTGCGAGTCTCGTTGGCGATTGAATCCGACTCCGAGTTCTGGCTTCGACTTCTTTTTCTTCCTTTGCGGCGAATAGAAGGTCCGACCGTCGTCAGCTAGTGATTGCGCGACACCTTTGGCAGTGTCGGCGACGTCCACTGGCCGCGGCAATGTTGTGGTGGCCTCTCCGTCATTTACTGAAAAGAACTGCTCGGTTTGCTTTCCTCCCTGGTTGTTCTCCCAACCTCCTGCTAGTCCCACAGTAGCAGGGGCGGTTGGCGATAAGTCCTCCACCAGCTCCGCATTCGATGTCGGCTCGCCTCCACTCGTCTTCGCGACAGAGGCTGTCGTGCCCAGCCTGCTGCGCGACCTCGTACCCGCTTCGCGTCGTTCGTTATTGTCATCATGGTCCACCAGGCGACTCACCGGAGCCACGCCGATTGCTGGTTTTTCTTCTTTGCTTGTTGCTGGCGGATCAACAATCTTGGGTGGTGCTTCAATGTGTCTGGCGATGGCAGAATTGGTCCTCGGCAGTCGGGGTTTCCTTGTCGGTGGTAGCCTTTTTCTCTTCGGCAGTTGATAGACCGTCATTTGCACATGTTTTCCCCTTTTGTTTCTTGATTGTTTGAGCTTGAATTACCGTGTCTTTGGCCTATTTTACGCTAGGTTGTGTTCCTTTGTCACATTTCAGGTCCTAGCACATAAAGTGAAGCATAGGCGCAAGTTTCAAGTCAATCAGAGATCAATTGACGATTCGGGAGTAGAAACTCGGGCATGACCTGAAGAAGAATGGATTTCTACCTCACTTTATGGACAAAGAATCATGCAAGCTTGTCATGAAAAGAAAGAGGACGAGACTACGAGCGTCTGGGATCAAACGGCGACTGATTCGGAGTCCGGACGAGGGAGAAACGAAGCATTAAACAGAGGCTGAGCAAGCTGCACGGGCAGACCAGGGAGGTGCACGGCCGTGCAACATATAATTCTGGCCGTGCGCTCTCTGCCGAGGCCTTGCACGGGCAAAATCCAGCCTTGCACGGCCGTGCAAGATGGTTGAAGGCTGAACTTATTGATACGGTGCGTTTTAGGGCTGCACGGCCAGAATGGAGTGGTGCACGGCCGTGCACCTGGCCGTGCAACTCGGGGAAGCCTGTTTTTAAGCCTAATCCGAGCCAAAAGAAGGGAGAGCTGGGTTGTGGATCCCAAACACCCAAGGGACGAACCCTAGAGAGAGAGAGCGACTTGGGAACATTCTTGGAGCTATTTTGGAGGATTTCTTCGCCATTAGAGCTCGGGAATCAAGCCCGGACTTGAAGATTGATCATCTGAAGATTCTTACTGCAGTCTCTCTCTTCTCTATGGAGTAACTTCCCTTCACTTAGGTTTTGAGGAACCCTAGCCATGTTTGTTTGATTGGATGATTGTATGAGTACTCTTACTTGATAATCTTGAGTTCATATTCAATCTATGCATGTTTTCATGATTCAATTCTGCTTTAGTCGAGATTATTGATTCTGCTTTGATCCTATGAGAGCGAATACCTGATTAGGTCAATAGAGCACCATAGATTGATAGTAGTGGATCGATTGCTTTAGTCGAGGGTTGATTCACTGCTTTGTATCGATTGAGAACCTCATTCGATAGAGGGAATCTAGTTCAGAACGCCTTGATCAGTTGTTCTAGAGAAGGATACGTCCCTCTAGGCAATTGACTCAAGAGGGCCTTGTTCCTTTAGTCGAGACTCAAGGTCTAGTTAAGGATTCTCCGCATTGTGAATGAAAGTGAAACATGTTAGAGATCATCAATCGTTAATCTGGCTAGTGGCTAGGGGGAATCATACCTAAGTGAGTTCCCAACCTGTAATTATATTAACTTTAACTGTAGTTTGCTAGAGTAATTTTAGTTCTTTCATCTTAATCTGTTTTGCTAGATAATGAACTGAAGCTGAGTAATAGTAACTCTAGAGACCCGTGGATTCGATATTTATTACTTGAGCCACTATACTGCAGTCCCTTTCATTGGTTACACTTGGCCATTGTTAGGAGTTGTGTTTTAGCGAGTCAGCAGTGGTCGCAGGGAATGCTTCCGGACTGGCCTCTGTTGCTGCTGCCAACTTTTCTTCTTCGGCAGCCATTGTGGACCACAGTTGAATAGCAACTGGAACGGCGGTCAGTTCTTTGAGTGGTGCAGCTTCGGCGTTCTCCTCCATTATAGTTTGGATCTTGGGAATATGGACAATCAGCCTGTATTTGCTAAACCAGAAAGTCGAGAATTTGTTGGTGTCAAAATCTGACCCGAGCCTATCCTTTGCTTCGAAGCGACCCCACCTACCATTTTCATCCAATGGTTGTTCCCCGTGGACTGTTATTATATTGGACAAAGATTTTATGTATGATGTTTTGAACCACTGCGGCAAGGAGAAGAACAGCTCGATGTATGAATCCTTCACTAGTTTAGTGACCTTGCGGATGAAATCTTCATAGACGCGTTCGGTTTGCATGGTCCCGGTTGAGAGTTGTGATGAACTCGATTTCGCAACCGGATTTGATACCAAATGATAGAAGAGAGGTTCTATCGGATTTGATATTTGGAAATTAGGGTTTATACGAACAGAATTAGGGATCGAGATTAGGAGAGGAAGAACAGAATAAAGAACCGGTCGAAGCCTTTGACTAGGCAAGAAGAGAAATTAGGAGATAGGGAGAGTTAAGGGTTTGGGGAAGATAATTCTTTAACTGATTTCTGCTTAATTGAACAAAAGACCCATAATACATATTTATAGCTAAATACTGAAAAAACCTAATAGACTATCCTAATGTGACTCAAAGACTATTAAACTTAATAATAATAATAAACCTAAACCTAATAATATAATAATAGAAACCGTAAGTTTCTATCACAATATCACAGGATCATAGAAAACTAATTCCTAAGGCTGGAGAGTCGATTGGTTTGGTCTGGAGCTCCTATTCAAGGCAATTTCTGCCCAAGTTGGTCTTACTTCTTCCTTGTGATCATTTCACTTCCTCCCCTTGAATATGTGTAACTAAACCTTCTTTTGATGTTGGGATTTGTGGAACTTGAGGCGATTCTAGAATTTCATAAATTTGAAATAATGTAGCTGTTGAATTCCAGTACTTGATTACATGTCTCAAGTGGTTGATTGTTACTAGTATGATGTTGTAAAGCGCACCCTAGGCTAATGCATCTGATGGAATCGAGAATTGACTAGAAATAGCTTCTTAGAATCCTTGAAACACCAAACACAAGAACTAACTATTTATCATTTACAATAAAGCCGGATTAATTTGTTAGTTTATCAATGATGTACGTAACTAGCATCCTAATCGACATTCTTCAATACCGAATTCAAGGTTAGAACCCAAATTCAAGATTGAAAGATATAGCTGAGTTTTATTTATGAGAAATTGCATGAAAACCATATGAGCGGCAGTTAGTGACAAGGTGCAACATTAACGAGAAGAACTAAGATGGTTAAATTTTCTGTGAGAGATTTGGTATCTCTAGATTTTAGAGATTTTGAATCTTCAAAATTAAAAATTCATCTTACAAAACCCACAAAATTCATAATTTTGTTGTTGTTGAATCTATGAATTCAACTAATTAATATCGTTCTGCAAATTATCCTAATTGTCTAGAAGATATTAGTTAATCCATCCCTATAAATTAAGATGTGCCCTATGTAAATAAGTAATCAACAGTATAGTTTGTGGCAACAATGCATTGAGTTTGCATTTTCCCTACCATAATTACCTTTTAACATGTTAAATTTGAGGTTAAAAGAGTTTAGTTTTGTGATAAAAACATTCTCTTACAGATCGATGATCCATGTAATTTCATTGGTCAATCACAGCAATAGATACAAACAAAGAAATGGCACGAGAAGAGAGCCCCCAAAACCAAGAAAGAAGGAAGAGACAAAAATACTCATACCACTACTGCATATACGCAGGCATTTGGACCTCTGCATGGCCAACCTTCTCCCACCTGTCATTCGTTTCCATTGTTGGAGAGCCGCCCAACTTTGTCATTGACAAAAATTTTTTTATGAAAACATCCACTTAATTTGCTTGGTCGTTAACTACCAGTTGATTCATGATTATGGTAGAGCATTTCAACTTTTTTTCTAAATAAGATATTGTGCGGTTTGAACCTATTTATATGGTTTTAGTATGTAATATATACATTAGCTTTAAAGTTCTTATAATAACTTTTCTATTTCACTCTAGAACACATCTTGTCAATTAATTATTTTTTATGAACTATAAATCTCTTTTATTACTGGTAAATGTTACAATTACACAAACAACAAACTAAGACGATAAGAAACACCACTTACTCGATCTCAAGCACCAGTATACCGTCTAAGCATCCCACAACTTGATGAAAGAATACCAATCCCTCCACGATGGACTTTATCCAAAATTTATTGTTTACTTCAGGTATTTAAAAGTAACAAATCCGTAGGACCCATGAACTTTGAGAGTTCAAATTCGTGGGTCCCACGGACTTGAAAGTCTCACCTCTTCGGGTGGAAATTGATGATGAACTTTGAAGTCCATCATTTTTACCAACCTACCCCTCATATTTTGTTTCTTTTCTTATATCATTGAGGCCAGTAAAATAAATTTCATTTTATACAAACAAATTTAATTAAAAAAATCTATTATGAAACAAACAATAATACTTTTCAAATCCATAATAAACTCAAAACCCTCATATTTCAATAATTTTCCAAAATTCAAATTATACCTAAACCTTTATTTTTCAAATTCACAAATATTTTCCCTTTCCCTCTCACCATTTTCATCGATTATCCTACTCGCTCCCACCTCCTTATTCCACCATTCCGCCTACCCAAATTCATACCTTCCTCCGCATCCAAAACTAGCCAAGTTTCCCCCCAATCCCCACCATCTCACCAGAAAACAAACCAAACCGAATAACCACTCCCCTAGAGATAGAGAGACAAACCCGGAAATATAGAAAAAAAAAAAAAAACCAAAGGTGAAGATCAAATTTCATTTCACAACACCCATCAACAAAACAAAAGCACTCAATCCCATCTCTCTCTCTCTCGTCATGCAAATTAGAGAATAACAATCCGATCATCACCAAACATGAACCCAAAACCCCCAACAATCCTCAAATACCTTCTAATCCCCCTCTTCCTCTCCCTCCCTCTCTTCCTCTTCCTCCTCCAAACTCCCTCCACCCCCACCCCCACCCTCCGCCACCGCCGACCGCCGGCGGGTATCCGGATCCGACCCGGCTACACCTCCTACGCCACCTACATCAACCGCCAGCTCAACAAGACCCAGAACCCAAAACTCCGCCGGATCTGGAGAACCCGCGACTGGGACCGCAAAGTCCGCGTCTTTTCCCAATTCTTCCAACTCCTCCAATCAAAAAACCTCCTCCACAACTCGTCCCGCGCCCTTTGCGTCGGGGCGCGGGTCGGGCAGGAGGTCGAGGCCCTGAGGCGGGTCGGGGTGCCCGACTCGATCGGTCTCGACCTCGTCCCGTCGCCGCCGCTGGTCGTGGAGGGTGACTTCCACGCGCAGCCGTTCGGCGACGAGACCTTCGACTTCGAATTCTCCAACGTGTTCGACCACGCGCTCTACCCGGAGAAGTTCGCGCGTGAGATCGAGCGGACGCTGAGGCCCGGAGGGGTGTGCACGCTCCACGTGGCGGTGTCGCGGAGGGCGGATAAGTACTCGGCGAACGATGTGTTCGGCGGCGTGGAGGCGGTGGTGGGGTTGTTTAAGGGGTCGGGGGTTGTTTATACGAGGAAGGTGGACGGGTTCGGGTTGGATACCGAAATTGTGTTTAGAAAAAAAGAAGGGAGGATAAGGTGACGGTGGGCGTATCCGTCGCTAAAAGGGTCGCGGGCCGGTAACTACTATGGTTTTTTTTTTGTTTTATATTTTTGTTTCAGTTTGTTGGTTTTTTTGAGTAGTTGAGACGTCTCTCTCTTGTAGTTTTTGTTAGTTTTTCTTTTAATTTTTTCGTATTATTAACGGTTAGTTTTTTATTAATTATATTTATTAGTGTAATTTTGAAACGAAACTATTTTTTTTAATAGGTGGTTTCCGATTTAGGTGAGTTAAGTTGGGATTCTTAGTAAAATGTATTAACATCTAGAGAGAAAAAAAGATGCAAGTACATCAAAAGGTATGGAGACAAAGTTGTTTTCGATTGATGCTAAACAATGGTGAGTTGTATTGTTGAAATGTGGAGAAGAAAGGGATGTCCCAGCTAGCTAAGCTCCAGATTTCTGTATCTATCTGGAATTTGCATTTATATATATAGTACCAGGAATTATATTCTTTGCTTTGCTTTGCTTTGTATTCTTGTCATGCGCAAGGGTATCTTTGCCGTCGGCAGTTTACAAGAAAATGGTAAAATTTATAAGCGATAATTCATATACATATATTACATACGTACCAACGAATTGCATTTACAAAGATACCACGTCTGTATAAATCTGGGAAGCTGCTTGATCACTCGTGCGGAAAGATGGATTCATCAGCAGCAATGGAGGAGCCGTCACATCAGCATACGAGCTTCGTGCTTCAGTTCCATAACCTTCTTAGTCGGGAACTAGTCAGTTCAGCTTTTCCATGTGTACAAGGAGACTAATTTCTTGGCCGACTATTTGGCCCATACAGTTTTTTTTTTTGTTTCGTTTGGGGTCCATTCGATTCCCCTGGTTGATCCCAATGTTCGATATTGGACTATGTATAACATTACAGGAGTAATCACCCATCATCATTTAATGTTACGAAGTAGATGCGTTTTGTGTCCTTTTTCTATCAAATATAAACCATCTTTGTACCACCTTGTATAGGGTGGCAACTGGTGGTAGACAATGGTGAAAGATGTTAACTGATGGTTAGTATATTCCCACTATCATGTATATAATCATATTACACATTCATACTACCATGGTACACTTCCTTTTCATCATGTTATAATTGTATGTACTACCAAGAATTTTTTATAAAAGCAGATATATGGTTGCTTTTTAATTAAGTGTTATCTAAGTGATTCGAATGTGGAACTTCCGGTCAGGATCGAGACCAATGGTAATACCACCGATCGCGATCACGGATAGAACCCTATGACTCTTTGCGGTGACCCTCCCAATCAACCAATGGTGGGAACCTCGCCACCCACAAAGCTCCTTCAGCAACCTCCACATCTTCACGATCGATCTGCGTCCTGTCAACATTGAAGGCCGGATTTCTCTGGTTTAGGACTAGGGGGAGTAGAGATGATGAAGACAAGAGTTCATCAGTTGTGCAGGGGAAGGGGATCCATCCGTTTGTTCTTTTTCTAATTAATTTATATTTTTTCTAATTAATTGATGTTAGATATAAATAATAAAATATTTAAAACTAAAATTGGAAGTATGAGTTAATGAGGGGGCAATTGGGTCATTTCTCCGTCCATTTAACGATCACTTAACGGATAATTAGATGGAAGGGTAAATTTGTTACGATTTAATATTAGAATGGTATGTTTGTGCAAAAATTTAGTAGAGGGGCTTATCGTTTGTTAATCTGTCAAAGTAGAGGGGTACAAAATGCTATTAACACTAAAAAGAGTTGGGAGATTTTTTGAGAAATTGGAACGGTTATCTCATTTTGATTTTGGATCTCCACTGGTTAAGAAGTACAAACAGACAGAGGAAAAGAAACTAAAGAAAGTGGGATAAATTGCAAGGTTGGTCACTGGGATTATCAAAAAGGTTCATGTTTAGTCACTACAAATATTTAATTCCATTCGTGGTCATTAGGTTTAGTAAAACAATCCAAATTTGGTCACTCTACATAAGTCTCCGTCTGTCTCCGTTAACATCGTTAGTTTTTTGCTGACGTGTCTAACAGACTTGCCTAATCAGCCAATTTCAACCGTTAAACGTTGAAAACAGACCTGCCACGTCATCTAGACCAGCCATTTCATATAAATCATAACCCAACCCAAAACCCATACACGTAGACTCCGTCCAGCTCTCTTCCATAACCTAATACTCTCCTCGTCTCTTCCCCTGCCGTCGATGGTTGGCACGACAGCACATCTCCTCTAGAGATTGACCAAGAGTTGTAGTAGGAAAGGTGGGTGTCGGCCTCCCGAAGACTGAAGGTGGTCTTCTCGTCGTCGTACTTCACCATGAACGGGATCTTCTCTCCTTTTCTTCGGCAATAGCTCCATCGTAAGATCCAGATTCACTACAGACTTCCCCTGCATCATCTGCTGCTCTGCTTTCAGCTTGTGCGGCTGGATCGATCGGTCGTTGAGGAGCTCGCCAATGGCGCGTTTGGGGAGCACTCGCTACCCTGCCACAAACTTCCCGAAGCTTCCACGCGATTCTCCTCGAGAAACCAGTGAGAATGTTTGTAACCTAGCGGCTGTAGTGCTAGGGTTTCAGAAAAGAAAAGAAGCCATGAATGTGGGAATCGGCAGATGCCTTCTCCATTTTCCATTGATAAGTATATATACAGAGGATTAATTACAGAGTAAAATAAGCTATTGTAGATTAACGGCTAAATCCAACTAACTATCAAAACTACGAATAAGGAGACACCACGTGTCAAACGACCAATCCTAATTACAAAGTTCAAATAGACTGGCGAATGACATCGTTTGGTCTCTTATTTATGTACCCGGTTTCCATAGCTGAGTCGGGTGAAAGGAAGCCCGACCTGGCTGCCCTGCATCTTCACTCTGCCACAGCTGCAGGATCTTTTTCTTTTTTCTTCAATGGCTATCACCACTGCAGTTGTGCTTCATACTCCTCAAGCTGGTGAGTACATGTCATATACTCCCAGCTTGCGTAACAAAAGCTGAAACCTGTCAACAGACAACCCCTTAGTAAAGATATTTGCTAACTGGAATTCCGTGCTGACATGATGAAGATTCAATAGTCATGATTTCAATCTTTCTCGAATGAAATGAAAGTCAACTTATATAAGCTTAGTTCTCTCGTGAAATACTGGATTTTCAGCTATGTGAATGGCTGATTGATTATCACAGTAAACCTCAACATGATGGATGAGAGACTCCATAGAACTGAAGTAGAGACTTTAGTCATTGCAATTCACATGATAACTGAGCAAGGGCACTGTACTCAGCCTCTGAGGATGATCTTGAGACAGTCCCTTGCTTCTTACTCTTCCAAGTTATAATTGAGTTACCCAAAAAAGTGCAATAGCTTGTAATGAACTTCCTGGAATCAGGGCAAGTAGCCCAATCTGAGTCACTGAAACCCCTCAACTGTAAGCTTGTGTCTGAAGGAAACCATAACCCCTGACCTGGACACCCCTTAAGATACCTCAATATTTTGTGCAAAGCCTTCAAGTGGACTATTGTTGGACAATCCTGAAACTGACATAACTGTTTCACAGGGAAACAAATATCTGGTCTTGTGGATGTCAAGTAAGGAAGCTGTCCAAGAATGTGCCTAAAACCAGTTATATCTTCTAACAAAGTTCCATCAGAAGCAGATAGAGAAGTCTTCATGCTAATGGGAGTTTTGGCAGGTTTGCACTCAAGGAAGTCAACATGTTCAATCATCTCTAAACAGAACTTTCTATGGCATAATGAAATCCCTTTAGATGTTCTGGCAATCTCCAAACCTAGGAAGTACTTCAAATAACCTAGGTCCTTCACTTTGAATCCATACTGCAATTGTCTTTTGATTGCTTCAATATCTTCCAAGCATGGACCAGCAATGATGATATCATCTACATACACTACTAAAATGATAGTAGCACTCTTAAACACATAATAGTCTTCAAAAGACTGTAAAACCCATCTGACCAAGGAACTCAGTGAGTTTGATGTACCACTGCCTGCGAGCTTGTTTCAACCCATATAGGGATTTCTTCAATTTACACACCTTACCCTGCATGTGACTTAGCTCCATTAGCCCAGAAAGCAGCTCCACATAAATCTCCTCCTCTAAGTCACCATGCAGGAAAGCATTGCTAACATCCATTTGATGGAGATGCCATGAATGGATAAAGCCACTGCCAAAAGAAGCTTGACAGAAGCCATCTTAGCAACTGGAGAGAATGTGTCAACATAATCATGGCCAAAAATCTGAGTATAACCCTTAGCAACAACTTTAGCTTTGAACTTATGATAGGGAAAAAGCGTATATGCATGAATCCTATCTCGTAGTAAAACCGGGAAGTCTGGGTATCGTCTCTCAGGGACTGGTACAACCTTATATTCTATCGATATTATAGAGCAAACTATAGGTGAAAAGGTTTTAATGATGAAACTACTATCTAATACTTAAACATAACAAGCAACTAAAATTGTTGGGTTGAAATCAATAGGAGAGAGCTCTGGAAGAAACACCGGAATTCACTATCTATCATATCCAAATTAGTTCACATATTCTAATCAGTTTAATCCATGTTTTTACAGCCAGGATATCACTAATGTGCTAGCTATCCCTGTCGGGAATTACTACGTACTAAACAATTAAATCGAATCCTACTGTCGTAGTTCAATGAGTTAATTATTTAGCCTGAAGACCGATATCCCAATCAAGACCGCATAGTAATTTAATCCACTGTCGCTTCGATAAGTTACTATGTCACATGAAATATGTTCAATCATTAGGGTTTCACTGTCGCCAATAACCTAATTAAATATAAATTAATGTATTGGTGGTCAGTCAACACAAGGCATTGAGCAATTCCATGCAATAGAGATTAGAAGAAGAGAAATATGAATCAATCTATCAAGTATAAAAATAGTTACATCTTATGATGTTTCCCCATAAATTGGGGTTTAGTTCATAACGAAATCAAAAGATATAATCATGTTCATAATCATCATG